GATAATACGGCGGAACTTGGCCCAAGGGTATAATAGTCATTTTGACTTTTGGGAAGAGCGGGGTGTAACACAACACTTGATCCACTTTGGGATCAAGTTGTGAAAGAAGAATTGAAGGCATTAATTGATTATGGTATTTGGGAAATCACAGATTTGTCCACTGATAAGGTCGTTATAGGCAATAGATGGGTGTTTAGAGTGAAACTAAATTGAGATGGGTCAGTGGAGAGTTCAAGGCAAGGCTTGGTTCTAAGGGATACACACAAGTACATGGTATTGACTACTGTGGCACTTTCTCCCCAGTAGCCAAGCTAGGTTCAGTGAAGATGCTTTTGGCAGTAGCAGCAGTGCAAAAGTGGCATTTGCATCAGATGGATGTGAGTAATGCATTTTTGAATGGTGTTTGGACAGAAGATGTTTACATGGTTATTCCACCTGGATTTGATTTGGGGACTAGAGAACAAAGGGAAGGTTTGTCACTTGAAGAAGTCCCTATATGGTTTGAAACAGGCTAGTAGGGAATGGTATACAAAGTTGACAGAAAGTTTAATGAAACATGGATCTCAATCCTCATCAAGCTATTCCATCTACACTATACATGTTTTGAATGCTTTAGTGGTTCTGATTGTACATGTAGATTATATTTTGATAGGAAGTATAAGTTTGGAAGCCATTGCAGAAGTTAAGAGAACTTTGCATATCGAGTTTAAGATGAAAGGCCTATGAGAATTATAATATTATCTAGGTCTGGTGGTTATAAGAGGAGTAAGAGGAATCAAAGTTTCCCAAAGGAAATATTGCGTGGAACTACTGAAGATATATGGTTTTGAAGATTGTAGCTCAAGGGTGAAGGTTTACAGGATGTCAGTGGATATAAACACTTGGTTGGGTAGCTGCAATATTTAACTACTAAAAGGCTTGACATTGCATTTGATGTCCAGCAATTATGCCAATATCAGGATAATCCTACTTCCTTGCATCTCAGAGTTTTTCACAGCGTTCTGAGATATCTAAAGGGTTCATCAGAGTCAAGGTTTGTCTAGTCTCAGTTGTGAAGTTGAATGGTTAGTTAGATTGATGAAATATTTTGGAATCGAGTGTCCATAACTAGTTAAAGTCTTCTATGACAATCAATCAGTGATACACATAGCACAGAACCCAGTATTTCATGAACAAACAAAACATATTGATGGTGATTGTCACGTGATTAGAGAACGAGCTTGGAATCTCTTAAGCTCTTAAGCTAACAAATCCCTCTTAGAGGGATTGGTTGATTTACTGTTCATTAGACTACAGAAGATTCGAAAATAGCTTGGAATCTCTTAAGCTAACCAATCCCTATTAGACACAATACCCAGCAGGCGACTAGCCTTCACCGGGTTAGAATGCTAAGGCAATTCACACAAATCTCCTCTACTTGGAACGAATTCCAGTACAAAGTAATAAATTGACTGACTCTCGCACAATCAATTCAGTACTATGAATCAAGGAAGCTCTCTTAACCTAATCAGACTCTGTCTATCATAAGTTAAAGCAGAAATCAAGAGAATATGATCAGGATTCAATTGACTCAACAAATCAAGCCTCAATCGATTAAAATAAAATAGTATATCATCCAAAATTCATTACAAGCAAGATTCCAAATACATGGGACTAGGGTTCCTCAAAACCTAAGTGAAGGGAAGTTACTCCATAGAGAAGAGAGAGAATGTAGAAATATGATCTAGATCTTCAGTATCCATCTCCAAGTTTGATTCCCGAGATCCAATGGCAAAAAAATCCTTCAAAATAGCTCCAAGAATGTTCCCAAGTCTCTCTCTCTCTCTCTAGGGTACGTCTCTTGGGTGGGTTTTTGGGAACCAAATTCCAGCTTTCTCCCTCCAAAAATGCATAAAAATGACCCTTTATACTCGCCATCGGCAAGTTCCACGGTCACCATTTGAGTTCCATGGTCGTGGAATAGGTTCACCAAATTGTGGATTTCTCCTTCTCAAAAGCCACGGTTAGAACTCCTAATCCACGACCGTGGAGTTGGCTTCCAACCCGTGGAAATCATTGCTCATGTTCCCCTATCTTGAATGTCTTGTTTCTCCCTCGCCTGGACTACGAATTAGGCATTGTTTGATCCCAGGCACTCTTAGTCTCGTCATGACAAGCTTACATGATTCTTTGTCCATAAATGAGATAGAAATCCATTCATACTCAGGTCATGCCTGAGTTTCTTCCACCGAGTCGCCAATTGATCTCCGATTGACTTGAAACTAGCGCCTATGCTTCACTTTATGTGCTAGGACCATAATGTGAAAAAGGAACACAACCTAGCATAAAATAGGTCAAATTATGATAAACACCAAGCTAAAAAATTAAGAAATGAGGGGTAAAAACATGTGCAAAATCAGTGTTATCACCTCACCTTGTTCTCAAAGTAACATATAACCGGTAATAAAGACTCACCAATCATAGTTATCCATGCATTAAAATCACGTCATAGGAACAAACGATCGAACAAACTAGGTCCTCAACAGGATGTATGATATAAACAAGATAAGATGAATGAATCACTCACTCTCAAACAGTGGGGTCAGGACCATTTTGATGCAAAAGATGTGCATGCTCAAACTCTTATCCCTAGAATCTCTTCACCATGACGGTAGCCTCTAAATGCTAGAGCTCACAAGATGGGTATCACCACTAGCTTGTCCAAGGGTCTTAAACACGAGTTTGGATTATTGGCTAGGGTCTAGGACATGGGGAAAATTATTTTTTGTTGGTGGCACGTATATCATGAGGTTCCACAATTCACCTAGAACCTATTCAAAACAACACAAGACGTCTTACTACAACCACTAACTACTTGTTCCACAATTCCAAACCACAATCAATCACGAACAACATTTAACACACAATGTCTTTCCTACATCTACTATAAAACTTTTCAAGCAGAAGAGTGAAGGAGGTTAAAAAAACACGTCAGTGTCTCAATAGCTTGACTTCGAAGAAACACTTTTAAAGAACATAAACAACTCTTTGTGGCAACTCTCTTTTCTAATTTTCCCTTTTTATTACTTCCTTTTTCACTTCTCTTTCTTCCTTTTCTCTTTCTTTCTTCTTTTCTTTTCTTATTTGCCAGACAAAACATACCACATTCTTTGCACTTTGAAAACAATGCTCAACTTTTAAGAACTACCTCCAACACTCACTTTCACATTTAGTAGAAACCATGCAAGACTTACAATGGGGAACCTTAATGAATCTCAAATGATGGGAGCTTCCAAGCACAAGGGTGACTAGACAATGGTGTAGACTCTAATAAAGTAAGGGTTACTATACCTAAACTCAATCAAGCTCAAATGGCGAGAGCTACACAATACAAGAGCGACTCTATTGGTTCACAAACACATGAGTACTAAACATTTCCACAAACCTAATGCATATCTCAATCATCATCATAGGTTTCACTCAATCACAACCAAGTCGTTCATATAAAATGCTAATAACCACAAGATTATCCTCAAACGGCCACTATGAATATGTTTTCACAATCATTTCACCGTCAATCACAAATAAGAATACACCCACGCACACTTCAATCATGACATTGTCCTCAATGGAACAAGGTAAGGGTGAAGAAATTACCGAACATTACACAAGTGAAAGTCGAGATTAGACCGAGATAGAAGAGGAGAGAGCTTCACAAAGAAACACAAACAACGACAAAAACACACATACTCGCCCAAGGAGAGGTTATTACACAATAATTTTAGTTAATATCACAATTATAAGAAAAGAAAACACACTAGTATGATTTCAAAATAGAAAAAGAAAAGAAAACAAAGTGCAGAGTCGAAGTGGAGAAGTGGGGTGAAAGGACTACTCAACGAACATGGCTCTCAAGTGTCAACAACCTCTCTCGAGGTGGAGATGACTGCAGTTATCTTGGTCCTTGATGTCCTGAACACGCGCAAGCTCCTCGAGCAAATGATGAGGGTGTCACTGAGCATCTTGCTCTAAGGAGAGCTAGGAAGAAACTCCTGCAAACTGGCCCTCAAGGGCGGTCACGCGCTCCTCTAGAGTGGTTGTGGATGATGATGGTCTGGCTCCTTTTGAAGAAGATGCCCCGGTAATACGACGACGATACTAAGGTGGCTGGTGAGGTCCATCTGATGGGGGTGCCTCTAGTGGTGTGAACGGACCCTTAATGTAACGGTAAGGTTCAAAAACTCAGAGTAAGTGCATTGACCCCAATGTCTCGTCCGATAAATTTGTAGTACATCCCATCTTGGTGCAACAACTGAGGTTGACATTGAGATGTCGTGTAAGTCAAGTGATGTAAGGTCCCAATTGCATGATGTGGTTACTCGGGTTTCCTATCGCCTTGGCAAATGAGTTGGCCAAAAGAGAGCCAAGGTCAAGCTCCTCTCCAATATCTGACATGGTGGTTAAGGCAAGCTGAGCCCTTTTGGTGACCTTGTTGGCCAAACAGTCACTTAAGAGGATGGATCGAGCAAGGAGCGCATTGATAATATTCATTGGAGTTGGAGTGTGGTGGTCGTGGTACGTGCATAATCATAATGAATATGTCAAAAACATATTGAGGTTCAAGGTCTTGGATGAAGTTCACCTCAAGATCCTACATATTTCTAGCATCCAACCCGATAGCTTGCGTAAGTTGCACAAAATCCATCATCCGAGGAGTGCCACACAATCTGAAACTCATGTGAGGGTCCTGGTGGCCTATAGGTCCTTTCGTTTGATTAAGGATGAAAGTGATGTAGAACTCAACAACGAGTATGGACTTTTCCCAACGCTTTACGCGAAGTCTTTGCTCGAAGAGCTGGGGGAGCAGAATCTCCCTTATTTGGAGTACCTTCCTTCGCGTCTTATATGGTGACGTACCTAAACTTTTTGTACTCATTTCTTTGGAGGTAGTGCACTTCCTCAAACATGCCATCCTCGATCTCAAGGAAACTGCACCATTGGGTGTGCGCCACAGCCTCGCTCATGATAGCTCCACAATTTAGGGCCTCAAACTGCCGAAGGTAGAACCGCCAATGAGGCTCGACTGAGGTCCTTCTCCAAAATTTGAAACTTCTCCGAAAATGTGACAACATCGAAAAAGCTTCGAGGTATGGGTGTTTAGTGTGGACCATCCTGCAAAACAACAATAAAATCACACCATACGTGGAAACAATCATCAAAATAAGGCACATTGGGGAGAAAGTTAACTCCCCATGCTTAAGTTTTCACATTGGCATTATGCCTTCTGATACGAGCACAATCTCGAGTTTATAAATTTCAGAATTATGCAGTGACAATCATTCAAGAAGTTGGTTGATTAAACTCTAACTTGAAAAACAATACCAAAAACAGAGTTTTCGGTTGGATGGAAATTAAACAAAATTGGACGTACAACTTCAACACGAAATCGGAAAGAGGCTTGAACAATATAATAGATAGCAACTCGACCATAATCAAGGTGGGCACTTGATCGATACAGAGCTCACTCGAATGGTGGAGATCCACCAACAAAGAGTGTTCTTTGATTAAAACTTGACATCTTGATAATGAAGCTTTGTATCCTTTAAATAGGAAATTAAAAACCTAATTCGACTAACGAATTAAAAGGAAACTAAAGCTAACTAATACACTAAAATGGTAAAAGAATCCCAGCCAAAAAGGTATAAAAAAATTCGGCCTAAACAATCCTTTCTAAACAAGAAAACTACTTCCAAAACATGCCTTTATAGCTATTTTGAGCTCTTCGTTCGATGTAAAGGAGGCTTTAATTTAATCATCCAACTCCTTCACGTGGTTTAGAAAGTTTCCTAGTTTCATCCCCAACTCCTATCTTCCCTCGGATGTGTCCCAAATAAAACGAATAAGCCTTTAAAGTAGGTACCCTGAACATAGTTTCTCCCTTAGGCAAATTTTGGGAAGTTTTATGTTTCCAACATGTGTTCATGCGATATTCAACAGCTTCAATGAAGACCCATGAAACTTGATCTCCCTCAAAACATCCATTGTCAATCTCCGCCCAGTGTAATACTACAACTTACAAGTAATTGATTCCATTTATAAGCCCCCATGGTGAAAATACAACCCTCCAAAGTAGGCTCCATGTAACTGCCTCTAGAGTTAGCCAATTTCCCGCCTCTTCTTCCCCTGACTTGATGCCTTCTTTCAACTTCAATAAAATGGTTTTGGGTCTCATCAGGATCACATCACCTTCATAGTCTTTTCATAACCTTGGTTCAAGAATGATTAAGCTCAAACAATCTATAAACAGATTGAGACTTGAAAATAGGTGTTTCATAGATAAAAAAGGTTGCAATTGTAAGCTTAGATCATGCCTCAATGACCACCATTCATCATGCCTAAAATTTCATCAAGTATTGACAATTAAACAAACACTTGGTTGGCATTTCTTAATTCATTCACCATACATGCAAAATCAAGCCCACCAAGGCATAAGAATCCCATCTTACACTGTAGCAACATTCAACACATCATCATTCATCAAACCCCACAATTAGTTTTATCATTCAAACAAAACTCCCAATTCTCCCCAACCTAAGAAGCCTAGATCTGATTCTCTAAAATTAATCAAGTTAAGGTAGAAACACACCTTGAGACTCAAGTAGGACCGAAGAGAAAGGGGTGGAAATCGAAAATCGGCCTAAAATGTGGTCAAAAAGGGTCGCCGAATTCTCGTTGGATGAATTTTCTGGCAACAAAATGTGAGCCAAACTTCCCCAAACTTGCAGGAAAGGAGCGCCTAGGCCTGGGGATTCTCGGTATGTGCTTGCAAATTAGATTGGACGGGCGAAAAAGGATCAGATCATTGAAAAACCATCGGAGGTGACGTTTTCCAGCGATAGATTCAGAAGATTCTGGCGGTTGATATCTCGTGAAGTGGAAGATAGATCGCAAGCTATTTATATAGGTCGATGGTCGCGATCACGTGCAGGGGTCAATGATCACTATTGCCTGACCAAAAATGGTTAGTTTTGGGTCGACATTACTGTCGGTTTAATATCACGGGTAGTTGCTCGTGATAATCTCACCTCGGTCGTGATACTTGCAAATTGTGATAGTACCCTGTCAACATAACAATGGCATGATGATCGTTCAAAACTCACCCACTTGACTCAAACACTCAAACAAATAAGGAAAATAAGGAAAAGAAATAAGAATTTACGTTGGGTCGCCTCCAAAAAGTGCTTGTTTTACTTCCTTAGCTAGACGGTTTGAATCTTCATGATTGCGAGCATGAGGCCTCCAAGAGTGGATTTGACACACTTTCGGGGCGAGGAATGGCACTTCTAATATGCTTTAGGATACAACTTCACATTGCCAAAAACACAAGGAGCACTAGTGGGGTTTGCCTTGGACGGCTCACCTCCACTTCCCAACACAGCATTCAACTCTATTCCATTAACATTGTCATGGTTACACTTAGGATCAATCGAAAAAGTGATTTTCTCCTCATCATCTCTCAAGATTAATGTGGCCTCATTTACATCGATTAGAGCCTTGACAGTGGAAGGGGTGTCCTAGGATGAGGGGCATATCTGAATCTTTGCTAATATCATGGATAATGAAATCCGGCGGATAATAGAAAGAGTCCACCTGTACTGGCATGCCCTCCACATTGCCTCTAACACTAATCACATAACGGTCACCCAAAGTAACACTCAACCTAGTGGGTTTCAATTTACCTACGTTTAAATTCTTATAAAGCTTATATGGCAAGACATTGATGCTTGCTCCTAAACCCACCAAGTATTTTTCTATATGGCATTTTCCAATGCAAAGGGGGGTACTGAAGCTACCATGATCCTGTTGCTTTTTGGGAAACTTGTTTCGGACGATGGCCTAGTACTCCTCGCTTATAGAAACTGAGGCGAGGTCTTCAAATTTTTGCATCTTTGCAAGAAGCTCTTTCAGAAACTTATCATATCTAGGCATATGTGCCACCTCTTCAAAGAAAGGAATCGTGACATTGAGCTTCTTGAGCATCTCCATGAATTTGCCGCATTCTGCCTCCAAACGATCTTTTTGGAATCTTGTAGGGAAAAGGAGTGGAGGCTAGTACTCAGCCACAAGGGGTGGCGTCGGCGATGCCTTCTTAGCCTCTTCACCCTCCTCGTTCGAAAGTAGTTGTTCGTTGACTTTGGTAGGGGCTTCGTATTTACCTTTCCACTCATTAGGGTTGGCAACGGTTTGGGAAGGTAAATCTCCTAGAGGTCTCTCGGTGAGGATCTAGGCAAGATTGCCGATTTGAGTCTCCATGTTTTGTAGACACCCTTGATGGCTTCTAAGACTTGCCTCATTCAGGTGAACTAGTCTTTTGCGACTTCCATAAAAGTTTCAATCTTCTTGCCTTGCCTCAACCGAAGTGAACTAGGTCTTTATGTTTAGAAACCTTGTCCGGTTGTTGTTGTTGTTGGAACCCTCGAACACATAGCGGTTGAATTGTTGTTGTTGGAAGTTTAAGGATTGAAATTGACGCCTTTGTTGAATGAAGGGAGATCTAGGCTGATAACCGTTAGTTGTTCCTTGCAAATCGGGTAACCTCGAATTGGTTGGTGAAGACCATGAAAAGTTAGGGTGATTGCACCATCCAAATTGTAGGTATTAGTAAAGGGGTTCTTGTTAGGATTGCCCCTTAGTATTAGAGATGACAATCTTCAACTTCATGGTTCAGACTTGCTCTTTCGGAGTGCTCACTTCCCTCACAAGTTGACATTGTCCAGCTTCATGGTTCGGACATGAGCACCAATCACAAACCATAACTTGCTTCTTCCCTTGCTTCCTATCATAAAAGATCTCCATTGTTAATTCATCAATCTTTGACACAAGGAGAAGGCTAGCTTCGGTGGAGTGTACTTCTCTTTCTCGTGTCCCTCTTCCACGCCTTGTCAACCCCAAGTCATAGCCTCTTGTAACCATATCTTCAAACAATGCGTTCATTTCAGGTGGAGTGTTATTGAGCATGTTCCCTTGACATAATGAATCAACAAGAATCCGATCTTATAGAAATTTCTTTTAATCAAAGATTGGAATCTTGGATCATTCATTGGTGGAATACTAATAAATCCGAAACTTTTTTAAATGATATTCAAGAAAACAGTATTCTAGATAGAAGATAAGAGTCGATGAATCTGAAACAAGATTCAATTAATTATTAATTTAAATTACTTAAAACAAAAATACCAAGATTTTTTTATGGAACATACATACCAATATTCATGGATCATCCCTGTCCTTACACTTCCAGTCCCTATGTTACTAGGACTCGGACTCCTACTTTTTCCGGCAGCAATAAAAAAACGTCGTCGTATCTGGGCTTTTACAAGCGTTTTCTTTTTAAGTATAGTTCTTATTTTTTCAATCGATCCCTCTATTCAGCACATAAATAATGGTTCGATTTATCAATACGTATGGTCTTGGACTATCAATAATGATTTTTCTTTAGAGTTCGGATACTTAATTGACCCGCTTACTTCTATTTTGTCAATATTAATTACTACAGTTGGAATTTTGGTTCTTATTTATAGTGACAATTATATGTCTCATGATCAAGGGTATTTGAGATTTTTTGCGTATATGAGTTTTTTCAATAATTTAATGTTAGCATTAGTTACTAGTTCGAATTTGATACAAAAATAGACCATTGTAGAAGATCTTGAGCCGAAACTTCCCTCTAAACCCATGGTGTGGACAGTGAAGAAAACGATCCGAGTACCTCTCCCATGCATCCCTTAAGGTCTTGTCTCCCTTTTAGGTGAAGTGAGTGATCTTCTTGCGGTATTCTGCCATTTTGGATGGTGGACAACACTAGTTCATGAACTTGTTGAGCAAATCATCCCACGAGGTTATCGAGAGTGGTGGCCTGTTGTTCAACCAGGTTAGGGCTTTCCCACTTAGAGAGTAGCGGAAAAGCCCTAACATGATAGCCTCCTCAGGCACTTAATTTATCTTCAAGCGTCCCGCTAACTCAAGAAACCTCTTGACATGATCCCATGGAGATTCATCTGGAAGTCCATGAAATTGTATGTTGTTCTGAATCATTGTAATGAGGTTGGGTTTTCTCTTAAAGTTATTAGCTGCCACGGGCGGATGCAAGATGCTTTATTGAATATCCACCGTCATGGTGCCATGTAATAGTCTATCGTTGCCGGTTCACCATCTCATTGAACGTTCTCTTCCTCCATGTCAATGTTCTCAACTTCAAACTCCTCTTCAAAACCAACTTCTTTTTCTACATCTCCTTTGGGAGAAACTTGTGGGTGTCCCCGTGATATGATCCTAATAGGGTCAATCATTGATCCACAATTACTTGTCAAAGAAGCTATCAAGGTTGGAAAGAAGAAGGGTAGAATTTGGTTAAGTGTTGGAACAGTGTCAAGGTACATACTTTGGAGGCATGGTTCTCGCAATTGGCTTGGTGGAAATTCATGTTTAAGTGTTTGTTTAACAGATAAAGGTACCATGTTTCCAATGGTATGCTTTTTGGATCCAGAAGATGTCATTAAGGTTGTTTTCCAAGGCCTCAAAGTTGCTACTTCAAAACTGGAAAACTGCCAGAAAATGACTAAGGCTGAAAACTGTTTTTTGATACCAACTTTGAAGGCCTATATCTGGAGATTGGAGCATGATCTCAGGCTGATTCAAGTTGGAGGTGAAAGAGGAAGTTTTCTTCTACAAAGGAAAGGAATTGGCTGAATTCGAATCAACCTAGAAGACCATTTTCGAAGGGCTCAAAGATGCTATGAAGCCTGTTTTCCTAGGCAGACTTGCTTGTGTATTAAGTCCGTTTCTTGGCCAGCAAGTTACCTTGTTTTACACGAATTATTTAGCCTTTTCTTGTTTTAATTTGTTTCCTTGTTAGTTTAGAATTGTATTAGGTTTTCTTGGCTATAAATAGCCTTCCATTTACGTTGTAAAAGCAGAAGAGTTGATTAATCGAAAAGAAACCGTTTGGTTTGTTCAAGTTTGCGAACTTGTTTTGGGTTTGGTGGATTCCAAACTTGCTGAGCTTGTGTATCGATTGAATAGTCACTTCAATCGTGGTCAAGCAACTACCCTTTTATACCAATCGAGCTATCCCCAGGTGTGGATTTGTCCTTTTGGTTCCGTTTTATCCAAGTTCGTATTAAGAACGCGTTGTTCTTGATTCGAGCTCAATCGATTCTTCGATTGAGTCGTTTGCTGCGTGACTTTGATAAACATACACCCCCCCAGGGGCGTATCACCCCGATCTGCCAATCTTTCTCTTTCCTCCATCAACTCTCTCTCCCGAGCCAAGAGTCGAAGCGCTTGGTTGATGTTTTCGTCTAGTGGCCCCAAAGGTGTTGGATCACTCCAGGTGATACACCCCCTCAACACACTTCATAAAACAAACACAAGCCAAGACAAGCAAGATTTACACTACACAATGATAAGAATCTTAAGCTCGTGATAGCTTAGGTTCTTTGATCAAAGTCGTGCAGCTACAAATCAAGCTCGGATAGCTTGAATCAACCTTCAAAGAAATAGAAAAGTAAAGGATACGTGGGGATAGATACTCGCCACAATCAAGTGTGATCGCTCGATTGATAAGAGTCTTGCCAAGCTCTTTTGGAATCTTCAGCAGAAAAACTCAAACAAGGATTTTGCCCTAGCTATGGAATCCACCGATAGCTAAATCAATAAACCATAAGCACATGGCTCCATGGGGAAAACACACCTCGGTGTAAAATTCTTATTCAACCAAGTATAATCTCTAAAATTCGTGTTTACAACCCTTTATATAGCCCAGGTGATAACACCTAGTGTTATTTAACCCTCATATCAAGGTTTGTTTCGTGCCAATTAATGTGCATAATTGCTTGAACATCGTCGATTGCATCCCTATTTCGTTTTTTATGTGAATTCGATGTCAATTTAGGGTGTATTTGACGATACATGCGAATTAGGTACAAAACAAGGTCACAAGTGTAGCAAGGGGCAGGAAGCTGAAGATCATGGCCTGGAAGTGGATGATCATGGCCGGGAACATAGACAGCAAACTCAAGCTGAAGATCGGTGTATGGAATCCCAAGATCGCGACTGCAAATTGGAGGGCTCAGGGCGCGAACTACTCGAGGAAGGAGCCAGGGAGAAGCAAAGACTTTCCCCAGTCAAATCATGGCCACAACGTTATTTGACGCGAGGAAGATAACGGCCGTGAATCGTGGATCGCGACCGTGAAGGCAGCTCGCAATCTCCTCATTTTTTATGGCCAGGACGAAGTCGTTCAAGTTCGCGGCCTCACTTATGAAGATCACGATTCACGATCGCGATCTCTGTGCTTTTTGCCGCGAACTTCTACGTCCCCAGATTGCCTATAAATAGAAGACCCCTTCCCCCTTTTAGATGAGCTGATTTTGTGAGAATTTCTGGTTTAGAGAGAGAAGAGTGAGAATCTGAAGGAAGGAGAAGGAAGGAGAAGGATCTAGAAGAGAAGGAGCATATTCCTCAACCAAAGTCTTCTTCATTTTCTTATATGTTTCTTCTTCCCTCCTTTATGGAGTAGTCCTCTAAGGTACTAGGGGGTCTAAATCCCAAACCCTAGTTCTAGGGTTTATTATGTATATAGATACTTTAGGGTTTGAATGAATGAATGTGTTTATCTAGTTGATTTTATTGCTATTCTATTGGTGATTATTTGGGTAAGTCGCCCTAATCTTCTCTATTAGCCTACTTTATGCTTCTACACTGGGTATGGAGTTCTAGGATTAGACGGGTATGTGCAATCAAGAAAATCGAGATAGATGTATGAATAGGGACCTATGGTGGCCGAGACGACCAAAATCCTGTTGTAGGTTAGCCTTCCTAGATAGAACCCGGGATGAAACCTCGGTGTGGATGCGGATAGTGTCCATTGAAATGAGCCATGAGATTAATGCCCAAGATACGATAGCCTAGATCGAGTTGATTATATATGGGTTTAGAGGAGGCATACTCGGAGGCATGTGGATAACCACGAAAACCCATGGATAACACTAAGTATCTATACATTCATAGTAACCCTAAGCTAGGGGGAGGATTAGTTCCCCGAAGTACCTGCTTTTACCTTTTATCAATCCCTAGTCTACTTATCTCCCCTAGTCTACTTATCTCCTCAAGTCCTCCACTCAAACCTCCAAAACCGATAACTAATTAGAAAATAGGCGGGAAGTAGGCTAGGGTACCAGGACCTGAGTAAAATACGACCTTGATTACCACTATATGAAAATGCCATCTTAGTTTAAACTTGGCTTAGGATGAGGTAGTTGTTGACACGTGCTAACCATTGACTATAATCTGCACTGATCAAAGTGATAAAGCTTTTTGGCGCTGTTGCCGGGGAATCTTGGTAACTAGTAGAAAACCATTAAGTTGTTAGTTAGTCTTTACCTTGTTTTGTTTGTGTTTTTGTTACTTTCGTGTGTGTTTCGTTGTTTGTTTCTGTTATACAACTTTGTACGTCACGGGTTGTGGAAGTTTTTGTGTGTGAATATATTAATCACTCATGGATCAACACGAATTAGAGTGTATTGCAAGGGAAACGTTACATAGAATTCGCTGGCAATCGCAATTTTAAGGAAGGGATGATGAGAGTGCTCTCGATCTTATGGCTTACTTCTTAAAGGACGTCAAAGCTTTGAGGATTTCAGGATTTACTCAAGATCAGATAAATGGTATTTTCTTCACTTACACTCTACGAGGGGATCCAACAGTCTGGTATAATGAGTTTCAATCCACTCTCTCTTCCGGAGCCAAGTTATGGAAGCATTTGTGTACCGGTATCTAGCTGGAACAATGGGCGTCATGGAGAGGAAGGTTATTGATACCTTTCAACAAGAAGTTCAAGAGACTTTCCAACAAGCTTTGGAATGTTTCGAGGGGTTGATACGAAGAAGTCTGAAGCATGGATACTTTGATGATAAACTCAACAAGAGGTTCTCCAAAGGAATCTTAGATAACTTCTAGGAATTTATCGGAAAAAGATATCCCACTGGATTTCGATACAATAATATGGAGTAAGTGAAGGAGCTATGTTTTTACACAGAACAGGAGGAAGCACGTTCAGCTAAAGAGCTAGCCATTCAAGGTAAGATAAACGAAATTGGCATAGATCTTGAGAAATTAAGGGAAGTGACCGACATGGAGTCACCTCGGATGGAACAAGCCTTTTCCATAAACACGAGGTTGCCTCCTAGTTCTAGTATTTCTCCTCCTCCTCCGGAACATCCTCAAGACCACGTTGCTCATGAACCATGCACGTCTTGTCGTGAATTGAGATGCCGATTTGAGCGTGACACACTAAAACACAACACCAAACTGCGACCAAGTGTAATCGCAGTCCGAAAATGCAGTAAAGTGGCAAGCTCTATTTGTCAACCCGGGGTCTAGATCTATTGCCTACTCCATGATTATCTATTATCTAGCAAACTAAGTCGAGTGATTGTGATTTTAAGTAAAAGCAGTAAGAAAGCAGGAAATGGTTCAAAGTTCTTTAACAAATCGAGTAACTCTCGTATAACCGATCTACAACTACAGATTGATGAATAGATTCTATCTATCTCAGGTTGCAGGAGAAATCAAGAAAAGAAGATCAGGCTTCAATTGACTCAATGAATCATGCATCAATCGATTAAAATCAA